AGAACATACTTAACACTAATTTTTTAAAGAGACTTAATAAATTTCTCCCTGACCGGTATCTAAAATGCAGGCCATTTCCCTGTTAAGTCTCACTCAGAGGTGTCTCTGAAAAGCCTCAATAGTGTTTCATAAGAAGACATGGGATCTTGAGATGGAGAAATATATTTACCAGCTAGGAAAGCCAAGATTCAAAGAAGGCCAGTAAGTTGCTAGGTCCCAGAGCAATTCAACGGCAAAACTGCGCTCGAACTCAGGAGTCATATCTCTTTCCTTAGAGTGGATTTGTCCCAGAAGGTTGTTTACACTGCCCCTGGGTCACTGGTCACTGAGGATGTTCATGGCCAGAGCTGAACTTTGTGTCTCAAAAGGAAATACAATAAACACGCTGTCAGCTTACAGGCTTAGCCCTGACCCCTCAACACCCACCATATGGAAGAATCAGATGCCTTGCTTTAATCTTCTTGGCTTTGCCCTCAGAGTAGTGGAATGTATGATAGATGCACCTGACAGCAATAACTTAAGCATACCCTGAGAATGACTCTATGGTCTACAAAGAATGTGTGTTCAGTGTTCCAAGCTAAGGAATCAAGAACCTGGAGATTCATTCCTTATCTATGAGGAACATCTGAACCCCAGCCCATCCTGGGAAACGCAGGCCATGTCGGGGATTGAGGCCCTTTGTTTTGTGTTAAATGAAGGTTGCCAGGTGAAGGTCACCAGCAGGAGGGTGTTAAGTGAAAATGCTATATAAACTGCATGTATTTTACAAGCAGTTGCAATTTCCTGTCCAGCCTGCCACCACTGGACAGCCCGGTATGTAAGTGCCCTCAATAAACCCTAAGTCTTGTTCGCTGCCTCCAGGCCTCTTCTTCAACCTCTTGAACATGGTGCCATCCCTGTTGAAGTCAATAGGGGTCTGGCATGACATGAGGAAGGGGAAGGTCCTACACAATGAACTAGTGATTTTGTGTAACTCCCATCACAACCATTTGACCTCTCTCAATAACAAGAATTCTAAAATAGAAACCACATGAAGGAAAAACAAGAGCGAAAATGGCAAGGATTCATGCCCTCCCCTACCCTCTAATTCCCCTATCTGTCCTTACTCTCTAGAAAACTGTTAAAATTATTCCCATAACCTCAGCTGGCTCAGTGCAGAGTCCAGCCCCAGTGTGCCTCAATCCCTTGGGGAACATCTGCTGAGTCCTTCCGTGGCACCTCCTGGGGCACTGAGTCAGGCACTGTGTGTGATACAAAGATGACTAAGGTACCCTCACAGCCCTCAAGGTGTTTGAGGGCAGTAGAGGAGATAAGGAATGGGAATGAGCAAAAGTAATTGATGTTGGAAGAAGAACAGTCTCTGAGCTCTGGGAGGGGTCCAGGCAGGGCTGGGGACACTGGGGAGCATGAGGTCACAATCACTCTCTGACTCTGCTAGGCACTGGGCCCCAGGTCACGCCAACAGCCCACACCAAGATGGGCACTGGGAAGACTTCCCCTTAAGAAAGGACCCAGTCAACAGTTATGACTACTACTAGGAGCAGTACTAGTAGTAATAACCATAATAATAGCAGCAATAACAACAGTATCTTACAGTAATGAACAGTTCCTCTATTCTAAGCACTTTTCATATATCATCCCATTTAATCCTCATAACCTTACAAGATAGATACTATGCTACCATTACTCACCTTTTACAGATGAGAAAACTGAGCCATAGGGAGGTTCTTTTATTCATTCTTTCAACAGCTATTTTTTCAGTGTCTACCGTGAACCTGATACCACTCCAGCAGTGACAAGCAGACAGACAAAATTCCTGTCTGTCTACTTGTAGATGGTACATACATTCTTGTGGGAGATAAACAACTTGCCCAGGGTTCTCAGCTTGTTTAAGTAGGGAACTCAAGATTCAAACTCAGCCCCTCTGACTGTACAACTTATACTTGCAAACTCCCAAGATGAAAGCTGCCTGTTACTTATACTCATCATTAATAGTAAAATATTACATTTCCTCTATTTTAAGATGCATGTGTTTTTTACCTGTTAATGTGTGAAATCTGGCTTCATTTTATAATATATGTTCAAAGAAATCTGTGGGCTGCACGCAGAGTAAGTCATAATTGCTGTTATGCTGTTAAGTGTGGATTTAGCAGAACACAAGTTATTTGATTACCAACCCAGTTGAGTTTTCTGCAACTGTTAACATTATATGCCATTGAATTTTAACTTAAGATTCCTAATATTACTTCAAATACATTTTAAAATTCCATTATAAAACAGTATTGAAAGGAAAGGTTATTATGCATGCAAGAGATTGCTTGTCACACACAATGTAATTAAAGGGGGTAGAAATCACTAAATCTCCTGGAGCAGACACAGAATTTTCAAAGCCTAAAGGACTAGCATTAAAATGAAAAATACCCAATTGTCAGAAGCTTCCAGCTATTTAACTTCCAGCAAGACATGATCAATTATGGAGAAATAAAACTATGAGGTTAGCCAAAGAGAAAATGTAGCCCAAGCCCCACTATTCTTTGATAAACCTCAAAATTACACTGCCAACCTTAACGGTACTAAAGGGATCAAGATCATGAAAAGCAGCACATAATTCTGAAGTTACATATAACTTCCAAGAAGCAAATATGAAATAGAACTTCGTTAATGTGAAAAATACCTATACTCCAAATTCTGGCTATACAGAAAGAGCAACTTATATGTAAGCATATGAATTATTGAGCAACACTGCAAACAATGTTTAAGTGTATACATTTAAAGTCATGTTTCTTTGTTTCTGGAAAGATATAATTAACTCAATGGCATATTTTACCATTATCAATGGCAAAATTGATACCATTATCATTATTAATGGTGCCTAAAAACAGATGATTGTGGCAATTACAATGACAACTGCCATTTATTGAGCACCTGCCAAACACTCTATTTGGTATTTTATATCCATTATCTCTAAGCCTCGTGACAATGCTATAGAGGAGGGACTCAGAATTCCCATTTTAAATTTAAGGAAACTAAGGTTGAAAGAGACTAGTGACTTCTCAAAGTCATATAGCCAGAAAGCAGACACTAGAACCAGGTTTGCCTGTGTCCAAAGCCCAAGTGGTTTTCAGGGCACTATAATGCCTCTCCCTATTAACAATCCACCCCTACTCCCACCCAGACACAGCAAGCACAGATTAGCCTTCATGTGCAGAAAACTTTCTATGATCTCAAGAGCAGGATGGGCCAGCATGAATTCAAAGTAACAGGGTCCCCCACTCTCAACCCACATACCCCAGGATGATTCAAATCCTGCTGTTTATATGAGTGCTTCCATTTTCTCACTCTACACTTAGAACATAATCAAGGGGGCCCCAAATTGACCAACTGTCTCAATATTCACATAGCCAATCAACTGACTGGTTCATTCCTTCCAATTGTGCCAATTTGGTAGCAAAATCAGAGCAGACAGTAAATATGCTTGGTAAGAAGGAAGGGCATCCTCTCAGTTTCTGACCTTAAGGCAGGAAGGGTCCTATGTGCACTTATGCATTCAAGGAAGCTGAGGCCTCCCTGAGCCTAAGGGAGAGTCCAGTTGATTGTGCCAGTCACCTTCTGGGGATCCATTGCTAATCTCAGGGAAGCCCACAGTTTTAACAAACGACTGTTTTTCTTCTTGATCAAACTTTTCCAGGATGGCAGGCAGGGGTTCGTGAATTCTACCCCATTCTCTGGACATGCGAATACAATTTCATCTCGTATATAAAATTCTTGTCAATGTTTCTCCTGAAATATTCCCTCAAGAAAGAGCCTCAAGCTTGGATGCAAAGAGTGAACTAAGACATTCAAAAACCATGTATTGAGCATCTCTGAGGGTACAGAAAGGAATAAGATGTAGTCCCTACCATCAAGGAACTCAGCTGAATGTGGGAGGAGGATCAGCTCAGAACTAACTATGTATAATGAAAAGGAGAACAAGGTGTTATCCTGAAACACAGAGGAGGAAGGGATTAATTCCAGGTGCAGGGTAAATAATAAACTGGGCTAATACTGATTGAACACCTACTAGGTACCAAGGATTATACCAGGCATTTTACATATATTATCCCAATTAATTGCCCTGTGGAATATGTTCTAATACTATAATCCTCACTTTACAAAATGAGGAAACAAAGAAGAGGCAAAGTACCTCACCCAAGGTCCCATAACTAATTTGTAAATACTGGAGCTGAGATTTGGATCCTGCTGGCCAACACCGAAGCTTATGTTATTTTCACTATAGTAGACTACATCTACCAGCACAGAGACATTTTTCCTGGTAGAAGAGGAATCTGAATTTGCTTCCTCTTCTGTAATGTGGGGACAATAGCAATGCCTGCTTCACCGGGTTATTGTAGAGGGAATGAGCCCAAGAACATAAAGCACTCAGCATAGTGTTTGGCAAACTATAAGTGTTCAGTAAATAGTGACAGCTTTGTCGTCATCGTCATCACTGTCATTTCTTCTCTAAAGAGTCTAGAATGTAGCCGTCATGAGCCAGAAAGTCTTTTTTTTATTATTATTTTTAAAGGGATTTAAAAGAAAAAAAAGCTGTTGTTTTTCTCTGAAAGAAAAGAAAAGATTGGCCGGGTGCAGTAGCTCACATCTGTAATCCCAGCATTTTGGGAGGCCAAGGCAGGCGGATTGCCTGAGGTCAGGAGTTTGAGACCAGTCTGGTCAACATGGTGAAACCCTGTCTCTACTGAAAATACAAAAAATTAGCTGGGCGTGGTGGCAGATGCCTATAACCCCAGCTACTCAGGAGGCTGAGGCAGAGGAATCACTTGAACCCAGGAGGCAGAGGTTGCAGTGAGCCAAGATCTCACCATTGCACTCCAGCCTGGGCAACACAGCGAGACTCCATCTCAAAAAAAAAAAAAGAAAGAAAAGATCTCACCAAACCACAAGTCCTTCCCATGACCACCTGACGAGTGAGGTTCCTGTTTCCCCAATGAGCCACATCATACCTTCTCTTCTGAAGAAACGGTCAGCTTGTCGCTGGATATCAAGCTGCACACCTGGTCCAGACTCAGGCTAAGAAATTCTTCTCCTAGCATCACCTCTGGAAAGTGCTGCTCTGTTCCAAAAAAAAAAAAGCAGAACAAAACAAAGTTATAACACATTCCTGCCCTTCCAAGACAATCTGTGGGATTCACAGTAGAGTCCTGGAGGGGGCCGGGGGGGCCATGGAGGGAAAGGGAGTGAAACAAAGACAGAGACAGCATGGCTGGAGGGAAACTTGCCTTTTAATTCAGCAGTGATGGCATCCACTATGATCCTCTGTCCTGAACATCAACACAGACGAAAATGGGGCAGACAGATCTGAGTTTGTATTTTTTCCATGCTCCATGAGATTAATAATAGCATTGCAGAAAAGCCTCACTGGGACCTGCCTCCATAATTGAGCTCATTTCCCCTCAGAGTGTAAGCTGGTGGAGTTGCAGACAGTGCACCCTGAAGCTCAGCCAAACAAAAATGGGTCAGAACTGTTGTGTGTCTGAGAGATCTCTGGGGGTTCTTATAGGAAGTCAACATTAGAAGGTCAGAAGACGGGATCATTCTTTCTTGCCCAAAGTCAAACCTACTATTGTGAGCCTCTGGTTCATGAGGAGGCCCAATTAAGCATTCATCCAGGTGTGGTGGCAACAAGGTGACCCCACCACCCCTAGAACAGTCGACGGAGCCAGGCCTATGGAACTGTAAGACAGAGGGGAATGTGGTGACAACTAGAATAAGATAAAACCCACAGGCCGAAGGTCCACAGAAGGGAAATGCCAGGAACAATTCCTACCCTGACATTTTTCCAGGTCATCATCCTGCTATTAGAGAATTATATTCACTGAAATGTCATCTACTTCAGAAAGAAGGAGCCTAGGTTCAAACCCTGGCTTTGCCATTTATTATTATGTTTTTGGGCCAACGGCATCATTGCTATATTGCCCAGGTTGGTCATGATCTCCTAGGCTCAAGTGATACTCCTGCCTCAGCCTCCTGAATAGCTGGCACTATAGACACAAGCCACTGCACCTGACTTCATTAACTTCATAAAAATCAAACAAATAATTTAAGATTTAAATCATTTCTTGTGAAAATCATTTTTAACTTTTTATATTGAAATAATTTCAGACCCAAAGAATTCTCACACAAATTTCTACCTTCATCCAGATTCCCTAAACATGAATAGTTTATTCTCAAATACTGAGTTATAAATAATATTTTCCATCTTCCACTGGACAAAAAAGGCTCCCCACTTGCTCCACACCAGCCTATTGATATTACCATGGTCACAACTAAAGGTTGTCCATCTTGAAACTCAGAAATATTTACACATAATAAGACAAATCTGAAAGTCAGTTTCTTTATGAAGGGAACCAACTGTCAACATCAACATGGTAAGAAGCTGGTCTTTGCTTCTCTGTATATCAATACAAAAAAAGCCTTTAATTTTTAAGTGAAACATTCAAAAAACCTTCTTAACTATGGAAATATTTAAGACTAGATAGTATTATTTTTTAAGTGTTCATTGCTAAAGATCTTAAAATAAAAGCAAGAGAGCAATCTTCGTTGGATGGTGAGAATTTATTCTTGGGCTGGAGGCTGGGAAAGTACTGGATTCTCCCTCCATTCCCTTTCTGATCCAAAAAGTCTTTGAACCACAGTCCCCTGTCAATTGGTAACACCCAAGAAACAGCAGATAGAAACAGTAGTCACCACACAAGCCACCACACCATGAGCAAGCACAGGACATTGAGGCTCTCTGGACCAGCCACAGCTGAGCTCAGCAGGACCACATGGTTCTAAGGAGAGTCCCGCAAACCAGCACCAACATCTCTGGCCCAGAGCCACATCTGGCCTTCCCACATGTATCTTTGGCTGACCAAAAACCTGACAGCTGGAGAAGGGAAAAGAACAAGAGGAGGTAAGAAAGTAAAATTCTATGCTGTGAAATAAAAATTTCCTTAGAGCTCATAAGGCTGTAGATAGGCTTCGATTTTAAAAGGGAAGATAAAAGAAGTGCAGTAATGTATATTCTAGGTGATGTGGGGAACAAATTAGAAATCCTTAGAGATAAATCAAGACAGAAAGTAGTCAGCACCCCACCTCCATCTCTCTGTCCCTCCCCTGCTGCAAGGTTTGAATCTAAACCCTTTCTTTCTGAAGTGGGCCGCTTCTCTGCCCATCTGGAAACCTTCCATTGAAATCCCATTCAGAAATCCTCCCAGGAAGCAGTATCTAGTGGGGAAGGGGCAACAAGAGAAATAGCAGGCAGCAGCTTTTCACCCAGGGCTGGCACCCAGGGATCTGTGAGGTTTGTAGGGCATAAGCGGAAAGAGACAAAGAAAAGGATCAAAGAGGAAAATGCCTTCCCTTTTCCATTTAGTCTGAGGAGACAGGGGTAACCCCCAAAGTCTTTGAACTAGGGTCCCCTCTCTGTTAGCAACACTCAAGAAACAACAGGATAGAAAAGACAGAAACAGGATGCTCCAGCTAACTCCATTTCCTGGGAAATAGGATTTCCCCAGAAGACTTTGTATTCCAGTCAGCCCTCTCCACAGCTGCTTCCTGGAAAGAACCCACTTTGCTCCCAGAAGATACCTTCCTGAATCATCTTCTATTTTGAACAATTATTTGGGTTTTTTGTTTTGTTTTGCTTTTAATGTATTAATGGAGAATATAGTAAAGAGCCTTGGCTAAAGGGTCAGAAGACCTGGGCTCACGTCTTATAGTCACTTCTTCCCAGGCTTTGCCATCCATTTTATGAAGGATGAATATTATCAGCCTGTGTTCCCGCTTTCCAAAGTCCGGTTCTGTGAGCAGTAACATTTTTTTTTTTTTTTGAGATGGAGTTTTGCTCGTTGCCCAGGGTGGAATGCAATGGCACAATCTTGACTCACCGCAACCTCCGCCTCCCAGCCTCCCGAGTAGCTGAGATTACAGGTGTCCACAACCACACCCAGTTGATCTTTTGTATTTTTAGTAGAGACAAGGTTTCACCATGTTGGTCAGACTGGTCTCGAACTCCTGACCTCAGATGATCCACCCGCCTCAGTCTCCCAAAGTGCTGAGATTACAGGTGTGAGCCACTGCGGCCAGCAGCACCACTCTTTAACAGAAAAGATTTTCTGTATAATCAAGATATCCCTTGGAGCCAGGCACAGTGGCTCACACCTATAATCCTAACACTTTAGAAGCCTGCGCAGGAAGATCATTTGAGGCCAGGGGTTCAAGTCAGGCCTGGTCAATAAAGTGAGGCCCCCTCTCTATTACAAAAAAAAAAAAAAATGTAACACATCCTTTGGAACTGCAGGTCCTATGGGCAAGGCTGTGCACCTGCAAGATCTTAGAGACCAAATTTAATTCTATCGAATTCAGCAAACTGTCCAGTGATATAGGTTATTCAGTTCCTTGAGGCTGCAGGTTTCCCATATATTAAATGGAAATAATAATAGTACATATCTCATAAAGGTGATATGAGCATTAAATAAAGAAATAGATGTAACTCACATTTACTGAGTCCACTGCAGGTGCTAGATAACTCATAATGTATGATGTATCAAATGCAGCATTTCTTCAAAAATGAAGAAACTAGAACTGATGTCTACAAGCAGCCTCACAAGCAAGACAAAACAAGGCACCAATAACTCCATCCCAAAGTCTACCTCTCACATGACTCAGAGAGGTACTTTCAGTACAAACAAAGATAGGGAACAGGAAAATTCAGAGCATGTGTAAAGAACAGTAATAGTGAAGTCTAGCTAGAACCTAGGTGATGTCTTCATTCGTCCAACAAAGGTTTGCTGAGCACTCCCTAAGTATGAGGAGCTCTGCCCGGCTTTTGGAGATGCAACGGAGAGGCAGACAAGGCTAGATTCTGGGGGAAGAATGCATGTGCCAGGGGGCATAGTACCTTTTAACCATGGGCTAGCCCTTGAAGGGTAACTCTCTAATAATAACTAACTTTTCTTATCGTTTTGCGTCTTTTTCTTAAAGAGGAGTGGACACAGAGAAAAATAAGTCAGTTAATTAAGAGTTCTGGTTAAGAGTCCTAGTTAACCAGGCTTTACTATAAGTAACAAATATTGTTTAAGTTCCATATCCTGCTTGGTAAAACACAATGAGTATGTTCCTGTCCATGTGGATGGGAAATTATGGAGAAGAGGAAGAGGCACCATATAATTTTCAGTCTTTTCCCCATCCAAGCAACACAAACATATCTTCCCAATGTTAAAAGGATGATAAAATTTGGGTGATACATTCCCAGGCAAGGGCTTTCTCTGGGGATACAGTTGCATCTTGGAGAAAGTTGAGGCCATTTCCTAATACTAGCTAACACCATTCTAAGCATTTTACATATATTATGTCTCTCAATCCCCACAAAAGCCCTACTAAAGTGAGTATCAACATCCCCATTTTACAGATGGAGAAACAGAAGCTCAGAGAGTCTAAGACATGTGCTTAGGTTTACAGAACAGTAAACCTGGTAGAGTCAGGTTTTGAAAACAAGACTGCCCAATTGTAATAACAGATATTCTGATGAGTATCTTAGGTACCAAGATAAACACCAATCCTGAGCAGTCCACTGGGATAAAATTCAACACAAACATCAGAAAACCTTAAGAATCCCTCTCGGGGTGCTGGACATAGAAAGAGACAGAGAGAGGCATAGACGGAGGATATGCATCTAAAAACCTTTTTTTGGGGAAAAAATAGAATAATCTTAGTCCCTAAATTCCTAACTTCTTGGCATTTTGGAGTCAGTTCTGGGTTCAAATCTCAGACCTAACACCGGAATTAAGATATTTCCCTAATCCCTCCATCCACTAGGCCAGAGGAAATGATAGTCTTTGGGGCTCCCAAAGCCCCTCAAACAAGAAATAACAATCATATCCCTAATCACCCTGCTTTATTACATGAATCTTTCTATTCTATTGGGACTGGGAGCCCCATGAGGTCAGGGACCAAGTCTGTGTTATTTGAAGCTGAATTCTCAGTTTCCAGCATAATATCTGTATATATTGAGCTCTAAAATTATTACTGCACTTTCCTGACTGTTCTTCAAGACTGCCTAGGGCTCAG